CTGAATGAAGGCTGAAGAAAGCAAAAGTGGGCCAGTCATTTACTTGCTCTCCAATGGGATATTTCAAAGGTACAAAACTGGTCATGAAAGGGACTGAAAGCTTAAGGAATCAGGTGCTCAGAGAAGGTTTTGACTTGAATCTTCAATGGCCAGTATGTCCTCTGGTTATTCAGGGCTCTAGGGAATCTTCTACAAAGTTCTGCTATGAAGCCCTCTCTTGTCTATAAGGAAATTAGAGCTGATATAAATCAATGTCATAGCATTTGCAAGCCAAAATAAATAGTGAATAGCCTAAAAGGAGCTTAAGATTCTCAATGGGCATTTTCAAAGGTCTGGTGACTCTGAGGGCAAGGAAAGCTATAAGGTACCATTCAAGGCAGTCAAGCCAGTGATTCTTTAAAAAATTGTGTGTGCTGAAGGGGTCAAAGACTAGTTCAGAACTTTTACAAAAATGGAGCCCCTTCAAGAAGAAAAAAAGACACATGCAAAATTTTACACAATTTTAGAGTATGCAATAATTCTCTACAGCCTATTCTTGGACCCTGGGTTAAAAACCTGCGAGCTAGTATTATTCCAAGGAATTTCATGACAGATCTCTTGAGTGTGGACCCATTTCTAGTAAGATATAGCCTAAAGTCTTTTTCCTAACTTGAAAAGCAGGAATAAAGCAGAGAGAGAATATAAGAGTTTAGGGTAGGACAAAATTGGGAGGAGAACCCCCTGAAGGGCTCTTCTATTTCAACATATTTATCTGGAGGGAGTATTGCATCTCAAATGTAATATGCAGGATATCCTCAAAATATCCAAGTCCAAGACTTAGTCTAGGGTCAAGATTTTCTCTTAAATACCTCCCATCCACATTTTTTAGTACAGACAAAAAGGCCACTGGGATTTATCTATGAGACACAGGTTGTGTGACCCAGCTATCCTTGTGGGAGAATGAAAATCAGGGTGCAGGTCACTGGTAGGGATAGGGGCAGCATAAGAAATAATTCTACTAGCTAGGACATATCCAGCAACAGCTGTAACGGGGAAAGAAAGGTACTAAATTAGTTGAGGGTGGGCAAGGGGCCTGAAGGACAATTTTTATAAGATGTACAAGAGACAAGTAAACCCAGTAGGGAATGAACTGGGAGTGGTTTTACGTGTCTTGGAAAAGCAAGTTGCATCTTCTCCATAAACCTTATTCATATAGATATGTGAAATATAAAGAGGTCAAAATGCCCTTGCCAAACACCATATGCAAAAATTAATTCAAAATGGATCAAAGAGAGGAAAGTTTCATGAAATTGGATTTGGCAATGATTTCTTAGAGATGACACCAAAAGTACAGGCAACCAAAGAACAGACAAATAGGACTTCACCAAAATTGAAAACTTTTGTGCATCAAGGGACACTGTCAACACTGCAAAAGGTAACCTACAGAATGGAAGAAAATGTTTGCAAATCACATATCTGATGAGAGATTAATATCCCGAAAATATAAAGAACTCCTAAAACTCAACAACAAAAACCTAATAGCCCAATTTTAAAAATGGGCTTAAATAGACATTTCTTCAAAGAAGAAAACAAATGGCCAATAAACACATGAAGAGATGCTCAACATTAATAGTGATTAGGGAAATACAAGTCAAAACCACAGTGAGATACCACTTCACTCCCATTAAGGATGGCTATAGTCAAAAAACAGAAAACAACAAGTGTTGACAAGGATGTGGAAAAATTAGGATATAAAATGGTGCAGCCACTGTGGGAAACACTATGGTGGCTTCTCAAAAAATTAAACATAGAGTTACCATTTGATCCAGCAATTCTACTTCTGGGTATATACACAAAAGAACTGAAAGCAGGGACTCAAACAGCTATGTGTACACCAATGTTCAGAGCAGCATTCTTCACAATCGCCCAAAGTTGGAAACAACCCAGGTGTCCATCGATGGATGAAAGGATAAACAAAATGTGCTATATACATACAATGGAATATTATTTAGCTTTGAAAGGAATGAAATTCTGAAACATGCTACAGCATGGATGAACCTTGAAGACATTATGCTAGAAAAACAGACCACATGCAAAGGTCAAATAATGTATGATTTCACTTTCTATGCAACACCTTGAATAGTCAGATACATAAAGACCAAAGTAGAAAAGTGGTTATCAGGGGCTGGGGGGAGTGAAAATAGGCAGTTATTGTTTAATGGGTATAGGGTTCAGTATGGAATGATGAGAAAATTCTGGATAGATAAGATGGATAGTGGTGATAGTTGCAAAACAATGTAAATGTACTTCATGCCATTGAACTGTACACTTAAAAATGGTTAAAATGGTAAATTTTATGTTATATATACTTTACCACACACAAAAAAAGGAGTCAAAGTGAACAAGCTTCGCAATCAATCCCAGACAAATATGACACCTTTGTACACAATATGAAAATGAATACAGCTTATTACACTAGAAAATGCATGAACATTCAGTCATGCTGAGGGTAGTTTACTGATTAAAAAGCTTTGCCCTCCATGAAGTCAATGAGAAGTAACAGAAAAATGTCATCTATCTTCTGGACATCTGAAAAGAAACCCCAGTGTGAGAGACTGGGCTTTGTTAAATAAGCAATAATGGACTTACAAGCATCTTGAAATGCCTCAAACAGAGGCTACAATGTGTCTGGGGGTTGGCAGAACTCAAAAAGTCATTAATTTCTTGCCAGAAGAAAACAGCAGGCTTGGTAGGCAGATCTGGGTAGGTAGCAGAGGCCTCTCTTGTCTGCTATCTTACTAAGTGCTATAAATCCCAGTTAACTCCTATCCATGGTCTTTAGGTTTTACTTTAGAACCTACTTGGGGATTAAGTTTCTGATTTTTCCTTTCTACTTAGTTTGCTGCTAACAACTGCATCCCAAAGCCAGTTCTTTGGGAAGCTGTGAATACATTTAACATTAGTGATATTAGCATTAATGTTCTTAAGTGAAGGGAGAGAAGTGCTCCAACACATGTTGGAGATTAACAAGGCAGTCAAATACTTCTAATTTGATAGTGCTGAGAATAAAACCAAGTGCACCCTAATTCTGTCATTTATCACCCTTCAGAGTCAAGGAAGAGAAGCAATATTATTTTGAGGGCAGTTTTGAAAAGGGTCCCAGAATAATACCACCCTTCCCCAACTCAAGTGAAAAGGGTTGTTAAGAGAAGTAATGAGTGTACAAAAACTCCATGAGAGCAAGGACCACACTCAGATTATTCACCTCTGATCCCCACTACCCAGCACCACACTTTGTATACAGCAGGCATGCAATTACTTTTTGACTAAGAAAATAAATCTTTGAGAGCTGCTATCTGTTCTGTATTCTCGAATAGGGCTGGGTACTCTCCCACTCCACAGAAATCACCTCATCTCTGACTTGTGGACTCTTTTCAAGAGGCACTTTCATCACTTCATTTAACTTTGAAAGAAGTTGGAGGAGGATGAGGACACGTGCTTGCTAATCATCCTTTTCCAGATTGCCTCATGCGCCAGAATGGATTTTTATTATTGGTCTGTGGCTGCTACTGCTTTAGAAAGATTTCAGCCTGACCTTCCCAAGCTGCTGGGGGATGAATACTGCACGTGGCTGACTGGGAAAATGTGTCTTCCTTTTTTTTTTAAAAAAAAAAAAGCTTTTAGATTAACCAGAGCTTGCTGTGGTAGGAAAGTCACCCTTTCTTTCACTATACAAAATTCAAGATATTGAATTCTCTTGCATAAAAATGATATAATAAAACTAATCTGAACTGGTCCGACAGGAAAAAGGTAGCATCTCAGAGCACCTCACAGAGAGCAGTGGCATCAAAGAACAGGACTTGGGACTGCTTCATAGACAGAAGAGGAAAAAAGAAAATGAAAGCCATTTATCAAAGCAGTTTAAATAAGAGGATGGATTCTCACAGCTGGCCTCACAAAAGAGAACAAATATGTCAAAGGGAACAACTGATAGACTAATCGAGTCCTATCCATCTGGCTGAGGAAAGAGCCACCAGTGGAAACACTGAGAAGCTGTCCATTAGGAAAAAGGCTTGCTTGGAGCCTCATTTGGTGAGCTGAATAGCTTTTAGGAACACTGAATACACGATCGCACCACAGCTGGCTGGCTGGCCCTGCCAGCAAGAGACTCAGCGAAGGGTTACACTGATGCAGTTGGCAAAAGAGGGAGAACAGAGCATAGGTGGGTTTTTTAAATCTGCTTAGAGCCTGTATCTGGACTTTCACCTTATGAATACCTAAGCCCTCCTTGGGAGTAGGGTGGGAAGGAAGTGAGATTGTGTGAATAGATGTTTCATTTTATGCTTTTAAAAAACAGGACTCAAGAGTCTCATTCTGAAACATCAAGTTCAATCCCATGCCACGCTAAAGCCCCATCTGGACTTTTATATAATGCAGAGCTGAGTGCAGGCACTTTGGGAGAAGAGGAAATCAGGCCAGACTCAAGGAAAACGAACATACAACACTATCTACATCTCCAACTCAGTCAATACCACAGAAAAACCCACTCAGAAATAATTGTTCAAGGTAAATAGAGCTTAGAAATTAGTAAGGAAATCTGCCCTAAGGAGGGCTTATGTTTTAGGGAGCCAAACAACATCAAATTAAGCTGAACTCAGGGTTTTTCTAATTGGTAGTTTCAACCATTTCCAAGTTTTTACTTATTTTCAAAAATCAAAATGACTCTCTGCCCAAAATTTAAAAAAAGGAATGTCTTATCACCCACTCTAAAATAATAATTCACCAAAGTTTCACCTACATATCTTCTACATAATTAAATGAACCCTTCATATGGCACAAAAGCAGAAGCCATCATTCTATTTAAAGTCCTATCAACAAATCCCTTACTAATTCTTCTTGGCAGCCCGGTACTTTCCACTCCCATTAGAAGTTCAGTCACAGAATCCCTCTGCCATCAGAGGAGGGTAACTGCTTGATTTAGGCCACCAACTAGGGTCACTCTGGGGAATGTAGTGGCTTACCTGTTCCTCCGACAATTGGGATATGTGATTCACAGCAGCATAGGATTCAATTTTGGGGTTAAAGTGGTTGATGATGGCTCTGAAACAAAGAATTAACATTAATATAGCACCAGATAGAAGAAGAGGATAAATGAGTTAAAAACAAGTATCAACTACCCTCTGGTTTAGTGTATAAGAGCATGGGAGTGACTGTCAGAGGGTAACTGTCCTCTTATGAACATGAGGTCACATGGCGATGAACTTATAACTCTAAAATGGGAAGGGTTTAATAATTTATTATACAGAGAATAGAATCAAGCAACTCTGCTCTGCAAATGAACTAGGGGAAAACCTCACAACCAAACAAAAAACAAAAAACCAACCCTCTTTCAGACAGGAAACAGGACCCAGGGGGCTGTCCACTAGGGGGCCCTGGTGTTTAAATCAGAAAGGAAGTTGTTTGCTCTAACTTAGAACAGGGCACTCAGGAAAGCTGAACCAACATGTAGGCTAAACAGAGTCTCTGAAGAAGCTGCGCTTTATCAAAGCCTAGAACCAAACTTCTTACTTGTTGGTTAATATTTAAAACCAAAATTTTATTTACAGCCATTCAAACCAAAATCTGAGTGCCGTTTTCAAAATCCCCCTCTCCACCACTTTGTCACATTCAAGGTCACTATGTCTTATCAAATCTACCTCTTAAAAACCTCTGAGATCTGAAATAAATTTCCCTGAAACCAGTGTCTTGGTATAGGTCTTTGTCATTTCTTATCTGATGTAGCAGAAAAAGCATAGGCTTTAGATTAGAGTTTAGCATGAGTCTATAGTGATATAAAAGTGATTAAATAAATGGGGAGAAAAGACAAATCTTTCTAACAGAACAATTTCAAATAACATGTGTAGACACACTTCCATTTAGGAGATAGAGTTTAGTTCCCATTTCCACTGAAAGTGGGCTAGACTTATCTCCAAAGAATAGAGTAGTGAAAGGGAAAAACAGTAACCTGACAGTAAAGGATCACAGTGAATACTACCTTAACCAAGTGAAGGTGAAGATCGCCAGTGGTGTCATGTAACCCCTGGTATGAACTGATGAGAAGCACACTTCACCTCTGTTGCATACTTTCCAAAACCTATAATCTCAGTCTAATTATTTTTTAATCTCAGTCTAATCATGAGAACAACATCAGACAAACTCACATAGCCACTACCCCGTTGAGACGGTCAAGGTCATGAAAAGCAAAACTTGAGAAATTGTCACAGACCAGAGGCCCCTGGGGAGACATGATAGCTAAATGCAATGTGATACTCTGAACTGAATCCCAGAACAGAAAGAGGACATCAATGGATAAACTGGTGAAATCCAAATAAAATATGGAGTTTAGGTAATAGTAATATATCAGTACCAGTTTCTTAGTGTTGATATATGTACCATGGTAATATAAGATGGGGAAACTAGGTTGAGGAGCATACAGAAACTCTGTGTATCATCTTTGCACTTTTCCTGTAATTTTAAAATTATTCCAAAATAAAAAGTTTATTAAAATGTGTGTGATAGCACAATAGAAGTCAATATTTTTTTCAACATAACTTACTGATAATAAAGAATTATAGAACCATCTAATCTAACACAAATAATAGAAATACAAGCCAGAAACTTCAAAACAAATTATGGTTTGAAATCCTAATTTGACCACTTGTTTTTCTGAATGATTTTTCTGAAGCTGTATGTCTCACCAGAGGGGAAAAAAACGGGAATACTACTACTCCCTTGGCACTCAGCACAGTACCTAGGAATAGTACATTGTCGGCATACAATAACCATTTGTTTAAAGAGTGAATTAAATCTTATGAGGATTCTTGCAACATTTATATAATAAAGCAATGTCAAACATCTAGCACAATGCCTGGCACACAGCTGGTGCTCAATAAATATTAAGTGAATGAATAAATCAAATAAAACAGAAATGGGTCAGGAGCAAGAGGCAAGTTTTGGTAACTCATTTTTCCAGAGACTACCAAGAAGGGCAGAGATGTTATCTGCAAGTTAAGGTTGTAGCTTGGTCTAAATCCAAAATTGATTTGTGACCAAGTGGTGTGTTAAATATTTTTCTCATTCAGAAGGCAAAGTTTGAGGGTATTGGCAGGATGACAGTCCAGGAGCAGAAAGGAAAACCAGGAGCCTAGACCCAATGAGAAGACAGGGGGAACAGATACAGTGAACTGAGAATCCCACCAAACCTAGCAGCAGTACTAACTTACAGTTAACCCAGTGTAGACTCTGGGTGTAGCATCCAAAAAGTGATAGGATTGAAGGAAAGGAAATACAATGCCAATTCAATCTACTATTAGACCTCAGTTATTTTGGGAAAAATAATCTGCACTCTGTAAATACATCTATTTCATGCTTTTATAGTTTTTTTTTAAGGCTTTCCTTAAATTTCTTAGTAAAAAAAAATTTTTTTTGAAAATGTTTGAAAAAAAAATCCTGACTTTTGAACTAGGACTGTTTTTTTTTTTTTTTTTGCTTTGGTTTGCCTAGGCTTGGAGACAGAGAACTCCAAGGAATTCTAATGTCTGTTTGGGTAGGATGGTAGCAGCCACTGGGGTCCAGTTAGCAATCCAGAGAAGTCTGTGAGGTCTGGACAATGAAATAATCCCTGGGTCCATGGGGATGCTGTAATTCTGTTCCCTATCTGAGAAATTTTCTTGCTAATAAAGAAAGTGAGGAAGCAAGAAAAAAAAGGAGAAAGAAAAAGAGGGAAGAAAGTTAGATGTGGGTGGGGTCAGGAGCTCAGAGGGAGAAAGGGAGGAGAGGGCAGGAGGGAGGGAAAGGAAAAACCTGGAAGGTACTATCTTCAGAAAGCACACTTATTTCCTTCCCTTCTCACCATTAGCAAATCTCAGCTGGATCTAAGGATGCCCTGTGCTGGTTATTGCAGGGTATATATGCTGATACCGTTTGGGCAAACTCATCCTAAGGTTATGATAGATTTGCCACTCCGGGAATTTATATTTGGGATGAAGATAAAATCATCTTCCAACCTACCCTATGACATTCTCATCCTAGAGCTTCAGATCTCAGCAGGTGATGAAGGCCTCCTACCAGGCAAGTTGAGGGACTGTTTAGAAACCCAAGAGAGGAGGAACAGTATAAAGCTGGTTAATAATCTCTAACTCAGTACCCACAAAGGACAGAGGGTATATGCCTCTGCTTTATTTTTCTTACTTTTTCTTTGGGACTGCTACCTGTAAAATCTAAGTACTGATCTGATCTACTGGAGACATCAGGTGCAGGGCACTAGGCAGAAGAGTAAGAAAAATTGTCTGACACTGGTTGTTCTCCCTCCAGGCTCTTTAGCAAGGTATTTTGGAGATGGTTTGGAAATTTCCTACTAAAGTACTCAGGACTTCACACTGTTGAAAGGAAAAATGTTCTGAGATGGCAAAGTGATGACAAAACACCAAAACCAGGCTAAGTCAGCCCACACTGAGTGACACATACCTTTGCAGTGACTGAAATACTTAGCTTCTCCTTCCCCAGGAAGTTTGGAGGCTACCAGGGCTCACTTGGGTTGTGATTCCACACTGCCCCACCTGGAGGTGGTTCTAGAATAAAAGCTTACAGCTGACTTGCCCTCAGTGGGAGAAAGATGAGATACCAGATTTATGGATGAAGGAGGAGTCTCTCTTTTTAGTTTAGGCTTTCCTTCCCACTGATAGCACCACCAAAAGGATCTACTACCATCTCTTCTGAACATCTGGAGAGAGGGAAGGGCTGTACTGAGACATTCTAACAGTAGGGCTCTCATTTTCACTGATCAAAATCTGACAGGTAGCAACTGTCCGGTGTTGAAGTACAAAATTTGAGAGTTCCAGCAAGGAAGAAATGACATTTTTTTTCTATCAAAAGATAAATGAGCAAAGTATGAGTTCAATTCCCTCCTCACCCATCCCATCTAAAAAGGTCAGGTTCAGAGAAAGTGAATACTACAAGAAGGACACAAGTTCCTTGCCTCTGGCTAGCCTGGTAGAAAATGAAGCTCAATAAGGAAAGAAGGTAACTGAAGAAACCAGGAGCAAACCTCTTGCCTGAGCAAGAAGCTGTATCAGGGCACCTCTACCAGGTTTGTATTAGATTGTTACGAACTGAGTATTTTCGCACCCTGCCCCCTTCATGTGTTGAAGCACTAACCTCCAATGTACTTGTACTTGGAGAGAGAGCCTTTACAGAAGTAACTAAATTCAAATGAGGTCATAAGGGTGGGGCACTGATCCAACAGTATCAGTGTCCTTGTAAGAAGAGACAACAGAGAGTTTGCTTAATCTCTCTCTCTCTCCACCATTTGAGGACACAGCCAGAAGGCAGCTGTCTGCAAGCCAGCAAGAGATTCTTCACCAGAAACTGACCCTGCTGGACCTTGACCTGGGACTTCTAACCTCCAGAACTGTGAGAAAATTAATTTCTGTTTTTTAAACTGCCTAGTCTATGGTATTTTGTTATGGGAGCTGAGAAGACTAATATGTGGATTTCTACTCTCCACAGAGATTCTGGCATTTGGGCAAAGCAGAACCCAAGCCAAAGTCAGTCTTAGAAAAATTGTAGCTTAGATAAAGTCAGCTTCCCATTCTGCAGGGGACTTCCTCTCAATATACCCTTTATACTGCAGGTTATAGTATCCTTCTCTTCTAGAAGAGGATCAGTCCAATGTTCCTCTGCTACAAAGTTTTAGTCATAAATGTAGCTACATGGGTTATCAGCTTCTCAGGCAGAGTGGACCTGGCCCTTAGGCTTTACTAGGTGAGAAACAGACTTTAGTAAAGAAAGATCTTGCAGGGGGTTTTGAGTAGCCTGTGCCACAGAGAAAACACACACACACACACACACACACACTGAACAGAGACAATGTCTGAAAAGATACCAGGGTGGGTAGTACCATATATAGCAAAGAAACAAGTGCACATTTTCCCTTTTATTTGCATCTTGAAATTGGTTTTCATCTGACCTCAGTCTTTCAGGTATTTAAACAAAAGGTTGTGCCAGCAGAAAGCTTTAATGCTTAAAAGTATTTTGGAAAAGTGGATTTGAAAGGAAGAGGA